CTGTCCCTAGCACTGATCACCTGTCCCTAGCACTGATCACCTGTCCCTAGCACTGATCATCTGTCCCTAGCACTGATTACCTGTCCCTAGCTCTGATCATCTGTCCCTAGCACTGATCATCTGCACCTAGCACTGATCACCTGTCCCTAGCACTGATCACCTGTCCTTAGCACTCGTCATCMTGCCTTAGATTTTACGTGGGAAGTTAGTGCATAGTTAATGAAGCTTAGGATGAGAGGACGAGTAGAATAAATAAGAATGAGAATCAGTAGGTTTGTAATGGACACTAGTGCTAAGATGGTCGTCATTAACGCTGAGCAAGAAAAGGAAAGGAAAGTGACCCCCCGCCCCCAAACATGCTAAGAAGTTACGTATTCTAGAACAATTTGGTGACAAATTCTTGTTGAGAAATCATATCATTGAAATCGCTGATTCAATAATAGACATTTGAAGTTAAACACACGACCATATCAACACCGCTGTACTGTAAGCTTATCATATTAAAATATGCTGCTTGCCCTGAGAAAATTTTTTTCTATTTGAACAATAATGCGTTTGCCGTTTCTTTGCTCTGCGCCACAATACCCTGTAAACTTATTATGTACGTTTTCGTTTAACATCGTAGTTTTCAAATGTGTTCGTAATTTAGGACTTTGTCCGAATAACTTTATACAAAACTGGCTCCCAGCTATTTATTTTCCATTTTAGGTTTGTATGTGCGGTTTGTTAGAGGTAAAGGTTAAGAGTGGTCCCACTTGCTTTGCAATGGATTTGAAGTACTTCAGTGTCGCCCTTCTTTTAGCAATTAGGTTGAAGTTTACATTTTTATACCACAGGCATCCCAAACTTTAATGTCAAAGTTTTTGAGAAACATCTTTAAATAAGCTAGTTCGTAGTTTAAGAGTGGTTTTCAGCGCGCATGCGGCTTTATCCCGACTTTCTCACCTTCTTTTGTTTAATTAAGAACAAAAGAATGAAGGTTTAAACAAAAGAAGGTGTGAAATTCGTTTTAAATCGCTTGCGCACTGGAAAAGATTAAACTACGAACCAAAACTCGTACCCAGAGCCTGCGTTTCTTCTGGCCTGCGGCAAAGAACGAGGACTCTGGCATAATCTTTTTTCTTTTCTTTTTTCTTCTTTGGCGCATACGAAATTTTCTGGAAGTGAATAATCATGCTTAAAAACAGAGTTCTGTGTTTACTTCCTATAAAAAAAGATTAGAAATCGGGAACATAKTTTTTTAATTTTTTGCAAGCAATTGAACGCATGCGCTCTTATACCGGAAGTCCATGAAATCCTGGTCTTAAAAAATCACYTTCAAAATTAGATKTCYGGCAGACTTGCTCGGCAAAGTAAAACCCACATCAAATTACCAATTTGACCACTGAAAATTAAAACGGGGTGGGGCACCTTATAATTCTTAGGAACAAATTTTTAAGCCTCTAAGATTTTAGAAAAATATATTTTAGCCATCAAATCTTTTGCTTCCGTTTTATCTCATATTCAAAKTCAAATGAYTAAAGACTTGTTMTACATATYAATTTGATTTTKTTTGAATAMAAAAACATAGAAAACMCTACCCCGCTCAGGCCAGTACTAGGATGCTTTTTTCTACACTGGGGTGACGCTAGCAAGTTGTGCATGTTTTCACTTCGAGCTGATTGGCTCGTTACTTGTCAAGGATTCAGCTAGTTTTAAAAGTTACAAATAAACATAGTTCTGTTAATTTATGTTGTGTTTTGTCTATATTTGAATATGAAAATTATTTCAATTATTTCWATCAATTATTTCACATCTGCCGAAATAGCTCAGTTGGGAGAGCGTCAGACTGAAGATCTGAAGGTCCCTGGTTCAAATCCGAAGCGGAAACTCTACTGAACAATCTTGACAAAGGAGTTAATGATGTTTATGGCCTTACTGGAAATACCAGTGTCAGGATGGACCTGCTTCATTACTTTGTAGAACAATCCCGGGTTTCGGCAATTCCATTTTTCGTTTGGCTTTTCTTATTGCATTAAAGTATTGGGGCTTCAATTGTTTTTGTTTTGCTTTGTTTTGTTATCTATCTAGAGGTGTTTTACTAGAATTAAACAGCTTTTACTAGCTAGGAATTAAACAGTTTATATGACGTTATATCATGTTGTATATTTATTTGCCATGACGCTATAATGACATATATTTGTTTCTGTTAAACAATACCGGGTTTCTGGAATTCATTTTTTTCCTTTTGGTTTTCTTATCACATTAAATCATTTGTTTTGTTATCTATGTTATACTAGAATTAAACAGTTTTTACTAGGGATTAAACAGTTTCAGCATAGTAGTCATGACTTTTGATTCATTTGGATGGCTCTTAAAAGAACCGTTGTTTTTGTTGTTTTTGTGTAGCAAACAGTTCAAAACAGCCTTGGTGACAGCCTTGGTGTCTTCACTGACTGCGTGCTTGGCCAGTTCACCAGGCAGAAGAAGACGAATAGCCGTCCGGATTTCTCGAGAAGTGATGGTGGATTTCTTGTTGTAGTGAGCAAGTCGGGAAGCTTCACCAGCGATGCGCTCGAAGACATCATTGACAAAGGAGTTCATGATGCTCATGGCCTTACTGGAAATACCAGTGTCAGGATGGACCTGCTTCATGACTTTGTAGATGTAGATGGCATAGGACTCCTTTCTCTTGGACTTTCTCTTCTTCTTGTCACCAATCGCAGCCTTTTTGCCTGCTCTCTTCTCGCCTTTCTTTTCTACTACGGCTGGTTTGGGAGGCATCTTTTTTGAAAGTATTGAACAGATATAACGATATAGGTATGATGCTGTAGAACGAATTTATACTGAACTTATTGTTAATTACGAAACGACATTCTAAGGTATTTATTGGTAGAGTTATAAATATTCAGAGCGCATTATTCTCGTAGTCTTTGTGTATTGTTGTCAGGTCCGCATCTTATTGGTGTCTTGTGATCCGACCATCGTCCAGCTTGGGCTATAAAATCTGATAGACGCGTTTGTTTGGGTATTTTCGCGCGAAATCTAATTAAGTTGATTGAAAAAGAAAACTTTCTCAAACATGTCTGGTCGCGGTAAAGGTAAAGCAAAGTGCACCAAGTCCAAAACACGTTCATCCAGAGCAGGGCTACAGTTCCCCGTAGGGCGTATACATCGCCTTCTCCGCAAGGGCAACTATGCTCAACGTGTTGGTGCTGGTGCTCCAGTCTACATGGCTGCTGTTCTTGAATATCTGAGTGCTGAAATCCTCGAGTTGGCCGGTAACGCTGCTCGTGACAACAAGAAGAGCAGAATCATCCCCCGTCACTTGCAGTTGGCTGTCAGAAACGACGAGGAGTTGAACAAGCTTCTCGGAGGTGTTACCATTGCTCAAGGTGGTGTGTTGCCCAACATTCATTTATATAACAAAAATAAACACTACACTTAGTTTTCTATAGACCTTACCACACACATCAGTTTCACTATCTCATGATGAACGCACACAAGACAATCAAGTACACGACCCTCATTATGCCATAATCACACAAGCCAGAAAATAAAAACTTTTATAACTCATCATTTTTTCGATAAAAGCATTTTGCTCTATGTCTTGTAATAAACAAACGAATAACGCGTACCGAGCAACTTCCAYCCTTATAACCAGGGGTTATACATTCCATGTGTCTATAAGAGAAAGCTAAGTATTTGGCGGTTTTATCCCGATAAGGACTATTCTGACATCATCATATACGAACATTTCTTTTCTTATTGCGACTTTTGATGCGGGAAATAAAGAACTGTTTCAGGTTGAAGTGAAGTTATTATTATTATTATTTTTTTTTTTTTTCTTTGCAATTAAGATTCATTTACTGTGGATGTTAGCTGTGTGTGTGTGTGTGAATCATATCAATTCAAGCATACAGTCATGATCTTTTTAGCATGTGGTGGCTCTTAAAAGAGCCGTTGTTTTTATAAAGCTCCATTTTAACCGCCAAATCCGTACAGGGTACGTCCTTGGCGTTTCAAAGCGTAGACGACATCCATTGCTGTGACTGTCTTTCTCTTGGCGTGCTCGGTGTAGGTGACAGCATCACGGATGCCATTCTCAAGGAAAACCTTGAGGACACCACGGGTCTCTTCGTAGATCAGACCAAAGATTCTCTTGACTCCATCACGACGAGCAAGACATATTTAGCTCTTTAGATATTTCCAATGATGAATTGATTGACACCGAAATTCTTTCCCTAAATATAAAGAAAACGAACCTCTTAGAAAACAATCGTGAAAGGAATATTTGAATATGAAAAAAAAATCATCATCATGAATTAAAATATGTAAGGCTAGCACTGCTTGTTCGATTCGGACACCAAAACGGATGTCTTTTGTAGACAAAATAATCATTTTTAGTATCAAACATCTATACTTTGTTTCAAACTTCTCCTCGATTTGTGGCTTCCGAATTTCGTCTAAAGAAAGAATTCTTATATATACATACAAATTCTTGGTGAACGAATTTGTTTTGGCTCGAAATATTCAAGTTTTAGCGGTTTCTAGTAGACAAAAGAAAAGTATTGCACGATCAGCCAATCACGATGTCAGTCGGTTGTAGCCAATCAAATTATTTGGCGGCTGGTATAAGATCTTGGTTGTTATCAAAAAAGATATACTCGAGAAATTCAGAAAATACTRAAATGGCTCGTACTAAGCAAACCGCACGAAAATCTACAGGAGGAAAAGCTCCCAGAAAACAGCTGGCCACCAAGGCAGCGCACGTAAGAGTGCCCCAGCAACTGGTGGAGTCAAGAAGCCTCATCGTTACAGGCCCGGTACCGTCGCACTTCGTGAGATCCGTCGTTACCAGAAATCAACCGAACTGTTGATCCGCAAGCTGCCCTTCCAGCGTCTTGTCCGTGAGATCGCTCAGGACTTCAAGACAGATCTCCGATTCCAGAGCTCATCTGTGATGGCCCTTCAGGAGGCTAGTGAAGCTTACTTGGTTGGTCTGTTTGAAGACACCAACTTGTGCGCCATTCATGCCAAGAGAGTCACCATCATGCCCAAGGACATTCAGCTTGCCCGCCGAATCCGTGGAGAGAGAGCTTAAACACTCTACAAATATTCAATCTAACAACGGCTTCTTTAGAAGCCATCAAATGCCACAAAGTCATGGCCATATATGCGTTACCTTTGTCACTCCCTCTGTGATTACACTCCCATACAACATTTTTATTTTTCAAAACTAAAACGTTGATAAAAACAAACATTTTCCTTTTGATAACACGCTTCATTCTCCTCCCTCGCCATAAAATGACCGCTGACCTCCAAACAACGCCGGCCATCTCAGAAAAACAAACAACCCAATTATTTCACATCTGCCGAAATAGCTCAGTTGGGAGAGCGTCAGACTGAAGATCTGAAGGTCCCTGGTTCAAATCCGAAGAGTTTGTAGGAACTCTACTGAATAATCTCGGGTTTCGGCAATTCAATTTTTCGTTTGGCTTTTCTTATTGCATTAAAGTATTGGGGCTTCAATTGTTTTTGTTTTGCTTTGTTTATATGACGTTATATCATGTTATATATTTGTTTGCCATGACGCTATAGTGACATATATTTGTTTCTGTTCAACAATACCGGGTTTCTGCAATTCATTTTTTTTCCTATTGGTTTTCTTATCACATTAAAACTTCATTTGTTTTGTTATCTATGTTATACTAGAATTAAACAGTTTTTACTAGGGATTAAGAGGGAGTCTCTGTAACAGCGTGCCACTCGATCTGGGCTCGAAAAATAGATTTCTTTTATATTCCTATCATCGAAAGTACTATCTATCCTCACTACAAAATTGCAGTTAGAATTGTTCTAAATTCTTTTTTCCA